ATCATGCAAATGAGAAAAAATCCTAAAAATAAAAATATGCATGAAGATGTAGTGAATAGCACACAAAGATGAATCTAACGCAAGACGACCTAAAGGGTCTAGCGTTGGACTAGCCCATTTCTAAACATCCTTACTAGCGTTGGACTAGCAAGTAAGCGAAGAGAGAAGCCACAACTAGCGTTGGACTAGTGTGGTGACGTTATGCATTAACAATTCATAGTGAAGCAAATAAAGCATAAATTAAAACAAATAAACACATAAGAGCACGTAACACATAACACGTAAGCATAATATCTAGATGCCAAAATCCTAAGAAAAGCGGATAAAACACTTAACACATAAGCCACATAAACACGCAACCTATCTATTACATCGGGGAGCGCCTAACTACAATCTAAGAGGGAAAATATAATAAAACAAATCTAATTATCCTATCTATTACATTTTTGAGGTATTTAAATACCTCTCGAATCATTATAAAAACTAACTAAAACATATATAAGAAAATTTGAATGAATATTTAAATCAAATAAATAAAGCATATAAAGATATATAAACACATAGGAACACATAAGAGCACGTAATTGACATTGAAATAATAAAATAGGAGTACCTCCCGTTTGAAGTGGTGACTAAATGGAATCAAATTGTCCTAATTATACTCACAATGAACAAAAGGATCATGGCACCAATTTAATTGAAAAAGAAAATAATAATACAAGCACTAAATTCACACTAATATGTCAGACGTAAAGAAATTTAAGCAAATCTAAAAATTACAAGTTAAGTATATTCAAAAGTAGCATAATTAGCTATTAAAGAAAAGAAACAATCATAATAAAGAGAGCCAAAATTTGCCAAGGACTGAATTGCAAAAATTGAAAACTTTTGGGGGACAAAAATTATATTTTCCAAAGTTCAGGGGTCCAAATTAAATGAAAGATAAAATTCAGGGACCAAAGTGAAATTAATTTAAGGACCGAGTTGAAAGGAATTTAAAATGTTATGGGCCGCAGTGAAAGTACTTGAAAGTACAGGGACTGAAGTGCAAGTTCGTTTCTGATTTGGACAAGAAAAGGGCATCGGGCCTCCCTTTTTATTTTACTTGGGCCGAACTTACCTAAACCCAACTGAAAGCCCAAGCCAAAACACACAGGCCAGCCCGTCTTTTTATCCCTCAAGCCCAGCCAAAAAATACATGGGCTCCAACCTCCTAGCCCAACGGAAACCCAAAAGAAAAAATAAACTAAAGCCCATCCCCAAAACCTAACAAAATAATCACAAACCCACCTAAAAACTAACCTTAGCCCAAACCCCTTTTTTCTTTCTTTCTTTCCTTCTTTTCTTTTCTTCCTTTCTCCACTTCCAGCCGTTTCTTTTTCCTTCTTCTTCGGCCAGCTGAGGAAGCTTCAGCTGGCGGCCATGGCGGTCGCCGGTGGCGCCGCCGCCACCGGACCGCCGTCGCCGGTGGTCACTCCGGTTACCAAATTTTCTCAAAATACACCCCCTCACTCGGTTTTTCGCGTAGGTTCCATTTCCGGAATTATTTTTTACAAAAAAGGAAAGAAAAGTGGTCAAATGGCCAAAAAACAGTCACGGTTTTATTTTTTTTTAACCCCTTAAACCTTCACAAAAAATCATGAAAATTATACTACAACACTCTTACAACTTCTACAATACAACTATGATTTTTTATTAACCAGAAAACAATAACAAAAGACTACATTAAGGCAAAACAGTCCCTAAAAATCTTTTTGGCATTTTTTCAAACAATTAATATGCATTCACAGACATCATTTCCTTTTCCTTCATCTAGTTCATGCCATTTCCCAATTTTCAGCAATGCAACAACAACAATACAAGGCAGCCAGCAGAAATGAAAGAAAACTAAACAATGAAGCATTGATTTAATGTGCTAGACAAAAACTAAAAAAAAAATACCTCAATATAGGTGTGTGTGAGGTTGAGATGGAACCGAGAGGAGTTGGGGAAGATTTTTTTTGTTCTGTTTGTTTCCTCCGCCCAAGTCCGAGAGAGGGAGAGTGAGGGGTCAGGCTGCAAAATTCCGAGAGCTTCCCTTCCTCTTTTCTCGTACGTTTCTTTTTTTCTGCCTCTGCCAAGTGAGCCAGAGGGATTGGAGTGCTTTTTTTCTTTTTTGTGGTTTGTCTTTTTGGTCTCCTGAAACTAGAGAGAGCCGAGGGATGTATTTTTGGGGGGAAGCAAGAGTGGAGAATTTTTTTCTTTGTGGCCTGTCTGATTTTCCAGAGAGAGCCGAGTGAAGAGTTTTTTTTTTTCTTCTTGTTATCTCCGTCTCAGAGAGGCCAGAGAGTCGATATTAGGAGAGAAAAAGAGGAGCTTGCTTGTGTGTTTGGTCAAAATGATTTTTTTACCAAATGACCAGAAAGTTGAGTGTAGGAATGGCTTAAGTGTATTTTGTGGGGAAAATGATGAAAATGTGTAAGTTTAGTAATAATTTGATTTTGACTTCAATTTTTTATTTTTTTTTTATTTTTTTTTATTTTTAGTTTTATTTTTGTTGTTGTTTTGTCTTCTTTTTTTTTTTTAAACAAACCTGCAAAATTGAGAAAAATGCACATTAAAATGCTAAAAAATAAATAATTCATTAAATAGAAAATTTTGAGAAAATATTAAAAATCGACAGAAATTTGGTGTCTACACATTTAATACACCCATTGCATTTAGAAAATTTTTCAAATTAGTTATTCTTTTAGCAAAAAAATAATATATGATGTCTCTCTTAATAAAAGCACCGAGACAACTCCTAGTAGGCAAATATTTTCTAAATGCCCACATTTCCTTGATCATCAATAAAACAAGGAGGAGATCTAGTGTTGTACATGCCTATATGGTTCAACACAACTCTAATTATCTTAATATATTCAAAGAGGAAGGGGTATAGTGTAAACATTTTTTGTCACTATTTATTTTTCCTTATTTTTTCCTCCTACAAAAAATTAAACAGTAGAAACCTTCAATAACTACAAATAACTTCTTTTTCTTTTTTTAATAACAAAAAAATTACATTACACAACCTAATAAAACCTTTTAATAATTACTTATTATTTTTTTCTTATAATATTTTTTGCACTCCGATAGGGTGTGCATTTCTCATCAATACCAATAAATTCTTTTAATTTACTTGACAACTTCTTATATCTTAGAGAAAATCCATAGAGTTTTAATTGTTATATTTTTCTTAAACGTAATTATGAATTATTAATATTGCCAATATAGTTATTCCTTTTTGGACACTATTAAGACAATGACTTGCTCTTAAAATTCCTGAAAAATCAGCTGGGTTTTGAACTATCTTTGGCATTCCTGTTATTAGGGGTGTTTTTAATAGATAAATTTTTTCATAACTTTGTCCGTGGGTGCCTCTAAAAACACCAAAAAAATTTTAAAATACATATCCCAAAATACCAAAAAATATACATCTATTTTACTCTTCTACCACCACTCTCCCTAATCATTTCCATTTCTACCAGCACTGCCCCTGCCTGAGCCCACCACCGCCATCTCACCCTTTCTTCCCCCTCTTTTTTTCTACTCTCTCCCTCTCACTCCTTCGTCTTTCCCCTTTTTTTTCTCTCCCTCCCTCCTTCCTCCTCTCCTCTTCCCTTTCCTCTCCTACCCTTCTTCCCCTACCACTCTCTTTCTCTTTTCCCCCTCCCTTGCTGGTCACATGATCAGATCGAGAGAGAGAGGGTAGTAGGGTAAAGGGAGAGGGAGGGAAGAAGGGAAAAAAGGGAGTTGGAAAAGAGATGGAGAGTAAAAAAGAGAGAGAGAGAGAGAGGGGGAAGGGACAGGGAAAAGTTAAGATGGTGACAGCAATGGCGATGGCGATAGCGATGGCGATAGCGATAGCGGTGGCAATGGTAGGGAGAAGGAGAAAATGGCAGTTAGGATTGCAAACGAGTTGAGTCGAATTGAGTTCTACCCTAATCGAATCAAGTCTCAACTTAATGTTTGCAAACTCAAACTTGAACTCGAGTTCGATGAGCTCTCAATGTAAAGTTCGAGTTCAAATTCGATTTTGAGCAGAGTTGGGCTTGAACTCGAGAATAAAAAATAAAAAATAAAAATTTTATTTTTAAAAAATGAATAAAATAGTAATTTTTCTTAATAAATAATAAAATATTAGAAATATATATGATATTTTACTATTAAAATAATATATATATATATAATCGAGTCGACTCGCGAGTTAACGAGTTGAATAACTTTGAAGTCGAATTCGACTCGAGTTTGGTGTTAACCAAGTTCGAGTAGAGCTTTGATTCGAACTGTTTGCGAGCGGTTCAACTCGTATGTAGTTCTAGGCGGCGGTGGGAAGGGAAAGAAGAGGAAGAGTGACGATGATGATGGAGAGGAAGAAGAAGAGAGAACAAAAAAGAAAAAAATAAAGAAAAAGTAAAATAAGAAAAATTTTAAGATATTCCCCAAAGACACAAACAAACAATTTTTTCAAAACTTCTATAGTAAGGTGTAGTGAAATTTTAGACAAACTTTTAAAAAAACACACCATCCAAACAGTTCAAAATGTTTTCATTATCTAAAATCGTTACGCACCTTACAATGCTGTTTTTACTTCAATGGTGAATGAGCAATGCTCTTTTGTTTTTGCCCATCTTGAGCGTGTATCGCAAACCCAAAATTGATTAGACAAATACACTATAGAACTAAAATCGTATACTGATTAAAATCCTAACAAACCGAAAGTTAAACAGTACGAGAAAGTGGCTACGTTCAATTTCAAATCACATGTGCAATTATTTCTTTTGGAGGACCAATCCATCACATGCCGTAGTACCGATTAGCTTATAAGTTGATATGTCTTGTCTAGATTGGATTCTGAGGACCAATCCATCACATGCCATGACACTGAGTTGTTTATAAGATCCTCTCCAGAAGGTTTGCTATTCTTGATTGGATTCTAGCCCCCAACACTTCTTTCTCCCTCCGCTTCATGCCATGCCTCTCTGGTAACATTTTCTGGGTGAACTTGTTCATCTCCCTCCATATGGCCAGATCTGTTCTTATATCGATACTGGTTATGTTTATTATTGATCCCCAAAAAATCAGTGGTCAATACGAGTTCTTCAAGTTAGTTGCGTTTTGGGGGCCATCCTTCTGCAGGGTGTACGACTGCTGGAGAGAACCACCTGTGCCCAAGTTTACGTTGCATGGACTTTGGCCCGATAACTACACGCGACGTCTATATAATTGCGGTGGCTCCCGTTATATACCGCTTTCGGTTAGAGCTTTAGATACATATGTCATATACTTCGGTTAGACCTTTGTCAGATTATCATATATTTGACATGCACTCTATAGTTTAATTAACCGCACAATCAGTTCTCTTCTGCATATCTTCACTTCGCGTAAACTACTGTAAATTATTTAACTATAAAAGACAAAAGTTCCCTGTACTTCCTTTTACACTTACTCTATTATCTTTTGAATTGTAACGGAAATGAGAGATGATGGTTATTATATTGTTTGTCATGACAAGAAGGGTGTAATTAACAAAAAACCTAGTTTAAGCATCAACCCCAACAAATAATATTGTATATACAAATATCGTATATCAGCTGATGAGATAAAACAAGAACAATGATAATATCCCATAATTTTGATTAAATTAATGGAATTGATTATCATATGTATGCAACTTTGTGCAGGATCAACGAAGTATAAATGCACGGGATGACTACTGGTACGACTATTTCTTGCTAAATCCCCCATCAGCAAGACGTAACTGGCGCACTCAACAAAAGTTTTGGGCCAAAGAATGGAGTAATCATGGCACATGTTCAGAAAATGTTTTCAACCAACCAAACTATTTTAATCTGGCTGAGACGCTTATGTTTAGATATGATCTTAGATCAATACTCTTTAATTCAAAAAATCCAATCCCATTGCCATGGCCCAGAGTTTCGGATGTCATGTCAGCCATCTCCAAAGTTACTCAAGCTAGGCCAGAGTTACGGTGTAACTATTACATAAACGGCAACATTTTGGTGGAGGTGGCATTGTGCTACGATGTCCAAGGAAGCCGAGTGATTAATTGTACTCGACCAGGTACAGTGTTTTGCGGTAGACGGTCAAGCAGAATCTATGTACCAAACAACTTTTGAATTTATAATTACAATTGTTGTTATTGTTATTGGGAATTACCTTGTGTGATAGCGCTGACATTGGGAATCTAAGAAAGATTGACTTGGATAGAATTGGTCTACAGGCTCCACTCATAGACAGGTGGCTGCAATTTACCACCTCATTGTGGCAGAATTTTTTAAGTCAAAAATCTTTTGGTTCCCTACAAGACTTTACCCTGTTTATATTGCCAGTTTGAGCACCACTTTGAAAGTTTGACTGCTTAGTCGAGTATGAAAAATTCAAAATTCAACAAAATCCAACATTAAACCATTTTTCCTCTGTAGAGTCAAACCAAAGATGCTGGAGATTTTAGCCACGCAATAACTTAGGTCTATTGGATACTAATTTAGCCAACACATAAGAATTTATGTAAAAGAAATTTTGCAAACGTGGAATAGTTACTACCAACAAACTAGTAGTGGCTTGAAGCAGTGCACAAAGTTATCATTAACTATATAAACTATCAATTTTCCAAAGGTATCTCTAGCACATTGTCCACAACTGGAATACTAGAGATACAAATGGAAAACTTTCGAAAAAATGCCTACTAACCACAAAAAAAAATTGAGGCGCAAAAATACTAGAGATACAGCTCTTGCACACAAAAAAAAAAAGAAAAGAAAAAAAGAGTTGAAGTCCACTAGTAACTGATAACAACATTGCAACCAAAACTGGAAGTTTGCAATCTCTATTCTTTATCTTGGTCACAAACTTCATAAGACTTCATGTTCAACCAGCCATCCTTGTTTTTGGATGCTTCTCCCTTTGCAGCAAAAAATTTAACAATAGCACTATGTTAGTATGATCATTGTTGTTAATTATCTCCTCAAAATAAAATCATCAAATTCTATACCTTAGACATGCTATTCATGCATCACATCTAACAAGTAGGTAGAGTTTTCAATAGTATTACCATACAAAATTATTGAATGGGGAACCTAGGAAGAGAACAAAGAACCTGAATAAATCAAATTCTGTAACTCAGTTTGTAAACATGCTATAGCTGATACTCAGTATACCTAAATGTCCAAATTAACATCTAGTAAATCTAACGTCATTTGTTGCTGCGAATTCAAAAATGATGGAGGATAGTTACAATCCATGCTTAACGTGTTTTTAGGCACTAAACCATCAGCTGCTTGAAAGGATCTTTCACACCCTTTTTCTTGAGGAAAAAACATTCGATTAACTCAAGCATTTAAATCGCTTTTTTCTTTTTTTTTTTTTCATATAACAAGAAACAATGAAAATAAGGCATAATGAGTAAGACTTATTTATGCAATTGGCATACCATTAACTTGAGATGATGAAACCTTTCTCTTCTTCTCAAAACGTCCTTTCAAACACCCATTTTCTCTTCCTTTGGTTCTTATTTGTACTAGGTTCAGAACTAAAGTCGGACTTTCATCTTTATCAGCAAAATTCTCCTTATCATGTTCATTAGAAAGCTCCCTAATAGTTTATTGCTTCTCAATGGATGCGTGCTTTTTAAAGAAATCAGTGCTCCTCCAGATTATGTTTCGGGTCTCTGCATGGCCTTGTCTCAGCGTAATAGCATCATAAGCGTATCTCATGGCATAATTAGTGAATACTAACTAATTTCCCATGCCATCCATATGAAAAATCTTCTGTCGATCATCATAACTCGGTTTCTTACATCTATGCTCCAACGTTTTAATAGATATTTTAAAGGAATCTTTACTACATTTTTTGCCTTGAATGCAGCCAATGCGTGGGTACAAAGCATTCCCATTGACCCGAATTTACTGCAACTTCAGTTGACACCCAACTTATTCACACCCAGGAACCAGAATGACCATTCATGTTTTCGCACCCCACGTAGTATGAGAAGTGACAAGGAATTCAAAAGTCGCGTCACTTGATTGCTGTTCTGCATAGGAGCACGCTAGAATATCCAGAAACTCATGTTCAACACCTTGTACAACTTATGCATGTAATGTTTAGAAGCATGTTGTAGAACTGGACTTTTAATTTGGATAGGTGGTTTACCATTCTTGCAACCAAAATTTGAATCAGCCTTAGTTTGGTACTACTGACCAAGTTTCACCTCAAATTCTAGAAAAAAAAAAAAAAATGGGAAAATGATCGGTTTCATCCTTCACATTTCACAAAAATATTCTTTTCGTCCCTCACTTTTAAAACGAAGTAATTTCGTCCTTGACATTTAAAAACTGAAGTTCTTATATCCTTGAACTCAAATTTCAATCTGAATCAAACCAATCAACCTGATTACAAATTTTGGGGGTGTAATTGGTAGATCATTTGGTTAACTAAACTTGATATTCATGTAAAATTTAATGAACCCAAAAAGAAAAAATAAAAAAATTATAACATAAAAAAGAAAGATTAATCTTTCCTACATTATCATTGTATACACTGACGGTTTTATGTACCGCCATATCATTTCAATTTAAATTTAAACACCAAATTTTATATTTATGATACACATCTAGATTCGCAAGTGGATATACTAACGGTGCATGAAAAGATTTACCCAAAAAAAACTCTACTATTCCAAGAAAAGAATGGCCTTTTATGTTATAAATTTTTTTTTTGGTTTAATAAATGTCATGTGAATATAATGAAATTGACCGAGTGATCTATCAATTCTATTTCCGAAATTTATTACTGGATTATTGAATGGTTTGATTCAGATTGAAAATTAGGTTCAGGGATGTAATAGCTTTAATTTTTAAATGTCAGGGACAAATTTGCTTCATTTTGAAAGTGAGGGACGAAAAGAATATTTTTGCGAAATATAAGGGATGAAACATGCTATTTTCCCAAAAAAAAAAATTCGTCAAAGATGTTGTTACACTGCCAATACCATTCAAGACACTATTTGTGCCCTCAATTCTAGATGTCGGTTTAAAATCAGCATTAAATGTGTCATTATTGAGAACTGTTGACCATTTTTTTCGAAGACCATGTAGTCTTTTCAACCGAGCATGATCTTCTAAACTATATATTCCTTAATCATTCTATCCCATGTTTCTTCAAGCTCCTTCTCAGTGTCACAACCATATAAGCATTTTTGAAATAAATCTTGAAAGCCTTGGTTTTGATTGATGCTTTTAAGGTATGATGGAGCATTATGTGAAACATGCCACAAGCATAATCTATGATAAGTATCTGGAAATACAACCTGGATAGCCATCATCATGGTTTGGTCTTGCTCAGTAAAGATAGTTTTAGGAGGGTTATTCCCCATTGATTCCAGAATTGCCCTGAAAGCCCACTCAAAAGAATCAACACTCTCATTGGATATAAAGACACATCCAAATATAATAGTTTGCCAATGATGATTTATCCCGATGAATGGTGCACAAATCAGATTGAATATATTTTTTAGCAAGTAGTATAAAAAATCACAACATCCCCAAAGAAGTCTAGTTTATGCGCGGCCGCCTATCCCTCCCAAAAAAAGTTTAGCATTCGTCGATCATCACCTAACTCTACATCCCAATAGAACATCCCTAACGTATTTACTCTGCTCTTGAAATTATGCACAAAACTTTGTGCATCTCTCTTCTCAATAATAGAATTTTGCCTAGTGGATATGAAATTGAAAGCTTCCTTTTTCGAGAATACAACATTAGTAACACCTCCACTTTCTTTAGCCAAATATGAATATGCATCTGTTATAGGTATTCCAAAATAGAGGTGGCAATTTGTCCCAAGTCCCAATGGGTTACCCATGCCCATGGGGACTTTGGGCGGGATGGGTACTAGAATTTGATATTGGGTTTAAAATGGGATAAATCCCAATTATACCCATTACTTGATGGAAAATTTTGGGAAATACTTGGGTGCCCATTGGGCTCAAATAGCAAGGGCTCAGTTTGGATTAACTGTTTTTGGGGAGTATTTTTCAAATATTTTATTATAGCAGTGTATATGAAAAATTTTTACTATAATTTTTTTTGAAATATTTGATATACTAATATGAATGGAATGTTTTTTGAGTTATTGTATATTACTGTAATATTGTATTTGGAAAACTTATTTTTTGAAAAAATAGCCAATCCAAACGGAGTCTTAGATTCAAAAATTATCTTTAACAATTTTTATAGTCATACCAGCGAATATAATCTAGTAGTCTTCCTAGTCATTATCCACAAGAATTTCCAGCATTTTAGTCAGTTTAGACTTGTCATCCTTGGACAATGATGAGGATAAATGTTCAACACCCTAAGTACCTTGGCCATCTTGATATATGTTGGAATATGGCTGAATATCTATCTTTTTCTTTATTTGTTAATCTAATTTTTTGTGGGAATCCTGAGTATAAAGCACTTGCATGTTTATTTCATAAAACTAAAAGAAATTTAATAAATCAAAAATATAAAAATTATATAAAAATAAAAAATGAATTAAAGGAAAAAAATATGTAGAAAATAGATTTGGGTATTGGGCGGAATCAATCTAAACCCATCCCAAAGTGATCCCGCCCAAGTTAGTCCCAAAACACATATGGGTAAGGTTGGACCCAAACCTATATGATTCGGTTCTATTTCAAACCCAAGCAAATCCCACACATCCCGCCCATTTTACCACCTCTATTCCAAAATCAAATATATGAGCCATTGTATTAGCCTTATCCTCAGTGACTACTCTTCAAGACTTGAGTAGATGTTTTTCATACTCTTTTGCCATCCCATGATTATGTTCCTTAACAAATTTAGTAACTTTCTACTGACCATCTTTGTCAACCTCAAAAGTGATCATCTTTGTCAACCTCAAAAGTGATCATGGTCTTGCAATCAATTGTAGTGTCTAATCCATTATAAGTAGGATCAGTCGTGACTTCTTGATTTTCTTTTTCAAGCTTAAGACTTTTCTTAGAACAACAATATGATTTTGATCTGATTTTTTTTGTCCCTGTATAATAGTATTGTTTTCCCCTTCGAACACTGAAACCGACTTGATGAGCATAAGCACCCTCTTTCTCTGATTG